TCTTAGAAATTATTTGAAAATTTGATGTTTATAATACACGGTCAGCGTCGCAATTTTTTCACATAAAATTACAGACGCTTATGAGCGTTATAATATAATGATACTCTTGATGATAAGCCGACTATAAAATTCTTAGAAATGATTTGTACATTTGATATTGGAAATATGCTTACCTAAGCGTCTGGTAGTCGATGATAATATACATAGAAAATAATAGCTATTATTTTCATAAAATTTTTTTCATTATTGCAATTTAACTTCTCATTTTAGTACTTCACTTTAACACCTCATTCTAGTATCTCAATTTTAGCGACTTATTTGGTCACACATAGTATCCTTGAAGTGGCCCAAAGTCCTCTATTTTACCCTACTTGCCTATATTCAAGAAAAGAAACATAATTATTCTAAGTGAAAGTCAAGGTCCGAAGGCACTTAGTAATAACAAGGTAATTTCAAATTACAAGGCTAGTCCTTAAATGCAATGAAACTTTAGAATCATTAGCAAAGTCTAATAAAGTTACACTAGCGTAGGAATTTATGACAGGTAATGAAAAAGCAGAATTTTTAGCGAGGTAAGGTTCTGAAATCACCTATGCTGGATCAAAACCAATGGTAGGACTCGTGTAGCAATCCCTCAAAATACTATCCAAAAATCGGTCAACCCAAGAATATAACATGAAAATATTGGGTTTTCTCGTAGTACCCATTTAATCAAAAATATCAAGAACAAGACTCTCGATCTATTATTGAGGTGTCTGAAATTTAGTGACATTCAGAAAGAATAAAAATAGATTATCTTACTCTTATGTTTTTAATGCTTATTTTACCAGATTTTAGTATAACTTTTTTGTATTCAATTTTTTAGTGAATAGCTTACGAATCCTTGTTATGATCATATCCCCTCAGGGTAGTACTAAGAAATTAGTACTACGGGTATGGTCAAATTTTAACCCTTGGTTCTTCAAGTTATGGATGACAGAGCTATAACCCTATTTTATAAAAAAGACAATAATCAGGTACCAAAATATTTGCCTCGGACAAAAAGAAATATTGAAAACAAGCCAACAATATTAGACTTCAGGAATACGAACTCTCAAATATCAGTATTAAACTTATTAAAACAGTGGTTTATGTTATTTAAACGCGACGACGTTTAGGAAAAAACTACTTCCAGACCAATAATAGGAAACCATAGCTTACATAACATAACTAATAATAAATACATAAGACTAATTAATAAGAAATCCGAATGGACAAACAAGTTATAACATAAGTATTAAAACAAGTTTTTTACCAAAAAAATTTCCGATGGAAGATCTACTAGTAGGCATTGAAATGGGGGTTAAAAGTGTTGATTTTAATTATCAAGACTTAGCAAGAAGGGAGTGTTTAAATTTTCTAAAAAAAAAATTTGTTGTAAATAAACGGGGTTTAAGAAAAAATGAAAAACATTAACGGCTCATACAGCATTTAAAAAATAAAAACTGTTTTTATTTAAAATCAAATAAGAAGAGTTCTATAGTAATACTGAAGAAAGAAGATTATTTTGAAAAAGTATCAAAAATGATTCAAGAGGGCCCTATCAAGAAATTAAAAAGAATCTTTTCGGTCGTGATGAAACAGTTTGGTAGTTTTCATCTCTTCAACCAGAGCGCGACATGCCACAACTGGTTTATCTGTTGGGGTAGTGTGTGGCAGTGGTCGTAAAGGATTCATTCGCGCTCAATTAGTCGGCCGTTTCGGTTATATCGACACCAGGTTTTTTTGGATCGAGTATTGCCTTGTTGCCACAATATTCAATTTGAGTTGCTTAACGGATTGTTTATATGTTACGGTGTTTTTTTGTTGCTTTCCCTGCATCTGAAGTGTTACAGTGTTCATCACCTTCAAACGGCAGTGGGTAATTATTAAGAATTTTTAATTGCTTATTTTAACGGATTTACAGTCCACGTAATATTTTATTATTTGTTATAAATTATATTATTATATTATTAGTTATAAAAAGAGGATATATGTTATTTATTTTATTAGTAATTAGTGCAAATTTCATTTATCATTGGCTCTTGTTGTTTGTTATTTTTTTATAATAACTAAAAATATCATATTGTGATTATTGTATATGTTGTTTTTCTTTCTATTTAGTATATTGTAAGGCTCAATTTCCACATTTTTATATTCTCCTTTCCTTCCGCTAAGGCATGGCCAAAATACGTATGGTCAATCGTATGTATTAAACAAACTAAAAGATTACAAAATCGCAAATTGCCGATACAAAAAAAAAATATAGCCAGCATTGCACAGAATCCATTAAATAAAATAATAAAGGAGGCTACAGACGTTATCAATAGTGCAAAATTAATAATTGGAGAAAAGTTCAAGATTTTTATTAAAATTTCAAACCCTCAATTACCTAAACTGTGTACTTTACCAAAAATACATAAGCCAGGAAATAATATGAGACTTATTGTGTCGAATATTAATGCTCCGACTTACAATTTGGCTAAAAACCTAGTAGGGGTATTTTTATCTATTAAAAAATTCGATAGTTTTTCAGTTAAAAATAATATTGACTTAGTTCAACAATTATCTGGTTATACCATTCAAAATAATGATAGGTTAATTTCTTTTGACGTAGTAGCCTTATTTCCGAATATTCCAATAAATATAACAATTGTTTTTCTTAAAGACTGGCTAAAGGAACTAAACATAGAGTAAGATAAAATAAATGAGCTTATTAATTTAACAAAGTTATGTTTGAGTCAAAATGTTTTCATTTACAAAATATTTTTTCAGTTTCAAAATAAATTTTATGAGCAAACTGAGGACACAGCAATGGGAAATCCGCTATCACCATTTTTAGCAGAACTTTTCATAAGTAGGTTTGAAACAAATTAAAAACACACTTATGGTGATTTTCCAAAAATTTGGGTTGGGTATGTAGATGATATTTTTGCAGTTATAAATAAAGATTTTAATATGGAGGTTTTCATACAATATTTAAATTCTTTTTACCCATCGATTAAATTCACAAATGAACAAGAAGTAGAGGGAAAATTGCATTTTTTTGGATTTATTAGTTAAAAAAACTAAGATGGAACTAAATTTTTAAATTTATCGGAAAAACACGCACACGTTAAGATACATTCAAAACACATCGAACCACATCTGGCAACACAAATTCACAGCTTTTAATAGTATAGTTTACAGATTAATTAATATTCCGATGAATAAAATAGATTTTGATAAAGAACTAGTGGTTATAAAAGAAAGAACTAGATTTAATAGATATAACGAAAATATAATTTCAAAATTAGTCCGAACACAAAAGTGGAATAAAGAAAAGAGGGTAGCTAGTACACTTACTAGCGTGGGGTAACAAAAAGTAATTAGACCACACATTTTATACTATCCTCAAATGGACGAGCTAGAATATTTAAGAATTTTGGTATTAATTTAGTAACATCTAAGAATAATAATTTAAGAGATTTATTAGGTAACCTTAAAGATATGGTAGAAGAAGGAGATAAATCAGGCATTTATAAAATACTATGTGAAACTTGTAATAAATGTTACGTAGGACAAATAAAAAGAAATATAGGGGTCAGGTTTAAAGAGCACTTAAGAAACATTAAAATTCAATAAGTTGAGAAATCTCTAATGGCTGAACATTTATTGACACATAATAACTTCAATAAAATCATAAAACTAATTAAAATCGTAAATAATTACAAATAACTTAGTATTAAGGAGGAAATAGAGATGTTTAAAAATAAAAACAATTTAATTAATTGGGATATTGGCCCACTAAAAAATTCATTATTAAACTTGTATAAATTGGCAAAATGTGATAATATAAATTAGTGATTACGTCATTAGGGGTATATAAGGGAGTTTTTTCTAGTTGGGGTGTCAGTTGTGTTTAGCATTAATAATGGTAACATTGTTTCCGAAATACGTATCCGCGACTTTTCAGTAATTTTTTGTGGCTTTTAAGTTAAATATTTTTAATATTTTTTAGTTTTTAAATTAATAATATTTTTAATATAGTTTTAATTTTACTTAATTAATTAGTCACAAGTGATCAATTTTTATTAAGCGAAAGAAATTAAATAATAAAAAAAAACCACAATTTTCCCGCACAACACAATGCACAAAGACATTTGGACATCACCGGACGGAAATCATATATTGCTAAAGGGACAATAAGAGCAAAACGTATTACTCATTTTTAATTACACAAGGATGACGTTAGATAATTATGATGTGTCCAAGTAAGACACTGACACGGTCCCGCGGCATTTCTCGATACACGGAGCCCCACGACTCGTGACACGTTTATCAGCCGTTGCCTTACTACGTGTATATGGTAGTTTGACTGACTAACACCGCGTGCGATACGCCACGGTACAAAGTCTACTAAGTGCCGCACGTCCATCTACGACCCGCCGCAAATATACGTAGTCATCTTAGTGACGCTGCACGATACAGATCGTCTACGTATTACGCCTTACCAACTCGCAGTGTTATTCAATATTTCCGTCGGTTTTATTATATATTAAATATATTGTTTATCTTATTTCGTTTTGTGAAGAAAAAACAATATTTTACGACGATAGTCGTAACAACAGCGAAGAGAAAATTTTGTCTTTTAAAAACAGACTAAATTAACAAGTACGGACTACACGACTCGATAATTCAGTGTCAATAAACAAATTGTGTTATTCAATAAAATCAGTATTCGAAGCAGTATGTGTAAATAGAAAAAAAAAAAAAAGAAGCGATGGTTTAATGAGTCATGCGAAAAAGCTTTGAACCAGAAAATATATTTAAGGTCAATGTAAATCCAACTTACGTATATGTAAATTCTTTTTTTAATTATACATTATTTTTTTAAGTTTATTAATTTTTTATATTATTTATTCATGCTCTTTTATGTTTCAAGTAATTAAAAAGGTAATATACGTAATAAAAATTTATATTATAAATAATTACTCTGGTAGTTAGTTTTGTTTGATACTTTTAAATTATTCACAGATTTTGGAAAGAATGACATATTTAAATTTTGATTTACAAATGATTTAGTTTTTTTTTTTTACTGTTATATACTACTTTTGGGGATCTTTTTCTCAGTTCTGAAACTACTTTATCTATTACAACTCCTAATACGTATGTTGTCTCTTCATAAGGACCTCCTATAGAAAACATTATTTTCGTCATTTTTCTTACAATACTTCCAAAAACAGATTTAGTTAATTCTTCTCCATAGTCATAGAAAACTGGTGTTATAGTTGTTCCAGCAAGATCACCCGCCAGTCGTTTATATACAATAGAAAACAGTTTGTTGACTGCTATTTCAGAATACTGAAAAATATATTACAGTACAAGGTGTTTTACTGCATAATACACATTTTATAAAGAATAAAATATTTTTTAGAAGTTATATTTTAATTCAAAATATACATCATTATTTTGATAAAATTAGATGCAAGGATCCTTAAAAAATATAATTCGTTTCCATACTATATAACCTAGAAATGTAATTAGTTGGAGAGTTGATAAATTAATAACTTTGGCGCTTCCAAGGTTTAGAAACCCCTTAAGATTTGCATTGTTAAAAACAATGTAAAAAAAACATTAAAATTTATAAAGAATTAATATTTATAATAATAATATCACCTCCTTAGCATTTATCCCCCCACTATTTTACTGGGTGTTTTATGTGTTTAGTGTTTTATGTAAAAAACATTTTTCAGAATTTAATAATTGAAGTCTAAAAGAAATTAAAGTTTTTCATAGACGTATTTACTGTACACTATGAACACATTTAATTTATATAAAATAATATTAAACAAAAGCTATGTTTATTTATTGTACTATCGTTTAACTTCTCTTAATGTATTTTTACACACACACACACACACAAAAGCGATGTAACATATTTTTCTGACTGTAATACATATTTTCTAATTTATTTATAAAAATTTGTTATCACTTTAAAAATAAAATTGGACATCACATCGAATTAAATATAACTTTGACGGATACAGGAAATTACAAAAAAACATAAATGGGACAAGTATAGATGATATCTGACAGTGATTAAAATCACTATCATAAGAAACGCTTCGATGCAAGTCTGTAGATAGTGTTTCATTTAGAGAAATTGGTGGATTATTCCAAAAGCAACATCAACTCTTATTTCTTTGATTATATCCTAATTAGTAGTTCTTTGGTTTTAAAATATAATATATGAATAAATACTAATTATAATTATTAAATTTAGTATGAAATTGATATTCAATAATATAAACGGAGAAATTATAAAAATAATAAAGAAGTTGTATTTTGCTTTATTTTTACGTGTATAAAAATTTAAAGGGCTTGACACAATCATTTTCAATAAAAACTGTTTGTTACTATAAATAAATGCACTGAACTACAAGGAACTTTCATCAGTAACAAAAATATACCATTCTAAATCAACTTTTCGCGATGTTTTCAAATCTGAAATTAGACTTTTTCTATCACTTCTAAGTTTAATTATTATTAAAAATTAGTATTTACATATAAAAAATTCGCATCGAACTAAAAAATTGGCTATTTAAGCTAACTCAAATTTAAAAATTACTTTTTCGACTTTAAAAAAACAGTAGCACAGTGGGGTCGCGGCATAGTGGAGACATTGCATAGTTGGGTTCAGTATAGATTTAATCTGACAGTGATTAAAATCACTATCATAAGAAACGCTTCGATGCAAATCTGTAGATAGTGTTTAATTTTAAAAAATTGATGGATAATTGCAAAAGCAACATCAACTTCTATTAAAATAAAATACAAAACCCATAATTTTCATACAAAAATAGCATATTTTTGAATATGGTAGCCATTTGCNTCACACAAAAATAGCATATATTTGAAAATGGTAGCCATTTGCGTATAGAAGATAGGTCGTCGGGACAAATTTTTTTTTTTCATTTTGTAGTACATAAAATAAGCTTTAATTTGATATATGTTTAAAGGACGCAGTATTTCCGGAACATTTTCAAAAATTATGTTGAAAAAGTCTGTTTTTGTAAATAAGTTGCTATTTTAAATCCCCTCCAGTGAGCTGGTTAAGTGTTAAATTTTCACTTAATTCTGTGACTTACATCCTCGTCAATACCACCACTCTTTTGCACAACTGACCCTAAATACTTCAAATTCTCCACCTCTCTAATCACATTCTCGCTTATTGTCACTGACTTCCTCATTTCACTTACCTCGTGTTCTCTATTGTCAAACTCGTACTCTAATACTCTGTCTTCCTTTTGCTTATTCTTAAACCCTTTTTTTTAAGAGCTAATCTCCATACCTCTAGCCTTTGATTAATTTCATCCCTATTTTTTCCTATTAACACTATATCGTCAACAAACAACTTGCACCACGGCACCTCACCTTGTATTTCTCTAGTAATTTCATCCATCACTATAGAGAATAAGTAAGAGCTTAAAACAGAACCTTGGTGCACTCCTATTCTTACCTAAAAACCTTCTGATACTCCTCCTACGCTTTTTACCCTGGTACAAGTGCCATAATACATACCTTCATACATATTATATTAATGTATCTTTTCGGAACTCCTTTTCTCATTAATGCCCACTTTAAAACCTCTCTCTGTACTCTGTCATACGTTTTCTCCAAATCTATAAATACCATACACAGCTTTTTCTTCGTTTCCTTAAACTTTTCTATTAGTCGCCTCACAAAAAATACTGGCTCCATTGTTCTCTTACCAGGCATAAATCCAAACAGGTTTTTAGATACTAATGTGTTATTTCTTATTCTTTTACCTATTACCTTTTCCTAAGTTTCCATACTATGTCTCATAAACTTTATGCCCCTATAATTTCCGCATTGCAGTATGTCACCTTTACCTTTAAATATTTGCACCACAATACTATTCCTCAATTCGTTTGGAATTTTCTCTTCTAATAAGATATTTTTTAAAAATTTCTATCAGAATAAATAAATTATATCTTTAATTTTTTTTTCTTAATTATAATGCAATAACTTTCAAATTGTATGCATAGTAAAGGGTGAAGATTAATGTAGTAAGTTTCCAACATAATCTATACAGTAAATTGGTGTAAAAGTTAATATGAGTTCACGCAGTTTTCATTCGCGCAGTTGACATTCAATTATTAGAATTTTGTAATTCTAAAATTAATCTATTATTATAATTTTGTAAAAAGTGCAAATGTACTAAAGTTATTTTACTTTAATATTATTTAATTAATTTTAAAAGTGATATGGCTTCCCACACCCAGACCATCTACAAACAGTATTTTTACACACTTACAATTATTTTGTTCCTTTTTCTAAATAAATATCATAAAATCGAATGTGATTTTAAACAACGCTGGTCCAATGAATATTATTTAATTAATGAATTTATCATTGTACAACAACAATTGGATCGTCTATAATATGGAATTACTATAGCCAATAAACATAATGAAGCAAACCATAAGTCACAAGACAATATTTTTCAATATATATATCTTACATAATACACTCATAAGTTAAATACATACACTGTCCATCAGAAAAAACAAATTAGAAATTAAAAAGGCATTTGTTTAATTTTAACTAAATATATGAATTATAGTAAATGTTTAAGTTAAAGAAAATTTATTATTTTTGAAATTCTAAGATTAGAATAGAAAAATTTGTTATTTATTATAGGTGTTATATTTATTTAAATCTAGAATACACATGTGCTAAATGGTGCTGTACTTAATTTATTGTAAATAAAAAACCCAGCACAGGGGGGTCACGGCACAGTGTGACGTGGCATAAATGGATCAAGTATAATGATATCTGACAGTGATTAAAATGACTATCAAAAAAAAAAACGCTTCGATGCAAATCTTTAGATAGTCTTTAATTTTAAAAAATTGGTGGATTATTCCAAAAGATACATGATCTGCTAGTTCATTAATAATATCCTAATTAAGATAAAGTATGTCGAATGAAAAAGGGGTTATTAAAAAATATTATTTCTCATAAAAAAATAATATTGATCCATACACTTTTCAATATGTCATAGCATTATAAAGTTATAAATGTAAAAAATAAAATCGAAAATTTTCACACAATAATAGCATTCGGTAGCCATTTTCATCGTGAAGATAAAATAAAGTCCGAAATTTTTTTTTACCATAATAAAGTATATTACATGAACTTTAATTTAAGATATATATAAAAGTGTCAGACTTTCCGGAACACTTTCAAAAGTTAAGTTGAAAAAATTAATTTTTTGTGAAAAAGTTGTCATTTTAAATCCCCCCCTGTGGACAAGTAAAGGGTCACATATAAAAAAAAAATATACCAAATGAAAGGTAATAATATCATGCATCTATATAAAAAAAAATTATATTGATTTGGTTATTTTTAAAAAAGTTATAGCAATTTTAAGTAAAGAAAATTAAAAAAATTTTGAAAATTAGCGATTTTTAAATTTGTAATTTTTTTGGAGGTTTCCCCCATTTACGGAGAACGAGGTGATTTTTTTCAATTTTTGAGGGTAATGTCTTCGACTAGATACGATTTGTGATCTTTTGACGTGTCATTGAAAGAAATCGGTTCGGTGAGAGCTGTGAAAAAGTGGTAACAGACACAAAAAAAAAAAAAATAAACACATCTTAGTAAAACCAATACCTTCTCAGCTTCGCATCGAAGCTAAAATAAAATATGCATTTACATTGTAATAAATATCATTATTATCATATCATAAGAAATAACAAACAAAAATGTCACATAAATAAAACAAATTATTTTTATAGATTTTAAAGAATAAATATTTTTAACTTACATTATTTATATGATTTAATCCAGATAGTGAATATCCAGTAGATGACTTAGTGTTTTCATGAAGTATATCTTTACTTGACACTGGACATTTATTTTTGTGCTGCTGTATAAATGCAAAAATTTTTTTACGGCCTATATTCCAGGAATTCAAAGAATTTTCCTCTATGGAATTTAAATATCCAAACTTTTCATCATTTATTAAAAATTCAAGAACAATAGGTTCAACAAATTTTTCAGTATGTTTAGCTTTTAGAAGTTCATTAGGTATCAAATCAATTTTATTGAGAAACTGTAACTTTTTGATTATCTTGGAAGAATTTCTAACTAGCAAATCTGACAAATATTTTATAATATATAAATATATATATATTCAATTATTTTTACTTGCAAATCTTCTTTTGGAATATTCAAAAATTGTTCTTCCACATAAGCCATCTATTATGTATAAAACATTACTTCTAACATCTGTTTCATAGTCTAGTATAACACTAGCTATTGCTATTATTTCGTGAGCAGTGATATTAGTACTGAGAATATTTTTTGCTATTGTGATAGCTTTTATTATTTCTTCATCGACTAGCTCATAATTTAAATCTGGATTCAAATTGTATTATTTTTTTTATAAATATGTAATGTGGTTTAAAAAGAAAATTAAATAAGACACTAATTGTATTAATAAAGAGCTTTTGGAAAAATCTCATTTTTTTAAAAACTATATTTGGTTTTTTGATTAGTTCTAGTAATTAGTGTTAAATAATTACAATAAATACAAACATACTGATAGAATATATCTAATTGATACCTTATATAACTTTTGATGCCATTAATATTTCGCAGTAATATTTTTTTAATAATTTATGCATACTTAAACCACATTAATGTATTATTTTTAAAATTATTTATAATATTTTATTATTTTTAAAAAAACAAATAATAATAAATATACTTTTAACATAACCTAAGAATGCTAAGATTGTTTTAAAAAAAGTTATAGAAAAATTGGATTAAATATTTGTTGTTAATTAAATCTGGTCCATCCAGATAAGCATAACAAAAATAATCCAAAATATGGCATTTTGTAGATTTTTTACTATTCATCAACCCCCATTATGAAATTCTGGCTACATCATTGGTTCAATTCTGGATATCTTAATTATTATCTGAATATTTTAATAAAATTTCATGTTAATAGTAAATATTCAATTTGTAGTTTTATAATAAAACTTAAGTATTCAGATATTAAACGAAAACACAAATCAAAATTCGAAGTTGGCAATTCATTCAACCCATTTATATCACTTAACATAGATATTTAGTTATTTCAATTATATTAAAACTATTGCAGAATAATAATGTAGTTATTGTAACTCAATTAAATATAATTTATATTGTTTTATTTTTACTATATACACAAAAACAAACCATTCATAAGACTTTCAAAGAAAGATAGCTTTTTTAATGAATTAGATTCCTTTAATTTGAGTTCTTTTTTTTCAAGTTGGTCATAGCAATTTTTATAAGCTTCTGGAATAATATCAGTTGTATTAACACTATCTATCATCTGATTTAAAATTTCTGATTTCCTATAAATACAATTAGTAATTGAGTCCCATAACGGCTCAGTTTTTTCGAAAAAATATCTTCCTGCCTCACAACTAGCAAAGTTATTTTTTAATGTTATCATACGTTCTAAGTAAATATGAAAGGGAGCAAAACTCTTGCGTTGGAATAGGCCTTCAATATTCTAAAATATTTAAATATTAAAAAAAAATAAAATAATAAAAGTTGTAAACATACTAATTGACTAGAATCTATTATGCATTCTTCATTGTTATTTTTTTCTTCTCGGGATTCATTATAAATATAACTTTCTTGAGATGTACTTTCGTCATATTCATAGGTTTTTAGATGTTTATTAAGTACACTACTTTTAATAAGTAACCTATTTTTAATTAAGTCTACATGTTGTGCTTTCACTCTTTTATTATAACGTTCAATATCATTAAAATTGAATTTTAACTTTGCTTTTTCATTAAGAAACAATTTTATTCGTTTTTTTTTATTTTTAATTGATTGTATAAGTTGAATTTTTTTACTTAACTCAGCGTTTTTAATATTTTCTAGTCTTATTTTTATAATTGCTTGTTTTTCGCGATTTTTATCAATATTTTCATTATTTCTTTTAAATTTAAATTTTTGGAATGCATGATTCTTTTTGTCATTTTTTTTTTTTTGAAATTGTAGTACATTTTTATCATCAAACATCTTTTTTTTAAAAAAGATGAACTTAATTATAAAAAATATTTGGACATACTATTATAATATTTTTTTTACATTATTACTCAAATAATAATAAATAACTATGACAATTTATTCTTCAATTATTTGGTTTATAATAAATAAGAAAATGTTGAATATAAGTATAATTACAGATTAAACGTGTAACAAAGTAAATTATGAAGTAAAGTACTATATCCTAGTAAAATGTGGGAAAAAATGATAAATGACAATTTTATAATTATTAATATTTAATTAACTTAAATGTAAAGAATAAGACTTATTATTAACAATTTCAATGTCAATCAGTATTTACATATTTTGTGTAAATTTTTAATAAAACTTGTTACAGTGTTGTTCAATTCATATGATGAGGTTTTATGAAAATATTAAGCTCAATTTTTTCAGATTATAGGAATATGTATAAAATACTTAAGCAGAAAAAATGTTTATTGATTCATGCATTATTCAAAAAATTAAAGTAATGAATAGTTGAAAATCTAAAATAGATAATGTCTACACAAAATAATGATATTTTTTAACTACAGTACATAGAAGATAAAATGATGAGAAAAAAATATAAGCATATACTAAATAATAAATTGTATTTAACATATAATTATTAAATTAATGTAATCATTAGGTATAAAAAACACAAATTTCCGGTAAATATTCCCAAAGTTAGTTGGAAAGGTTGACTTATCATGTCAAAATTGCTATTTTGAATCCTTCACAATGGGAGAGTAAAAGATCTAATTTCAAATATATATATATATATATTTGATTTTTTTTACTTTAAAGAAAAAGTTCTGCGTGAACTAATAAAACGGAGCTATTACAGTATAATTAAATGATAGATATATTAGAATAGCAGCTGAATAGTCAGAGTTATTTAGATAATACGGTTCATTTTTCTACACACTTTCTACTCTGTTAATCCAATAAAACTTGGACTCTCTGGTTTTTAGCTGCTTTTCTATCTACTATTTATCTATACTTTGACTCACATAGCCCAGTAGGAAGGCTTGGATAATTACCCATGATATCTAGACAATTCTTCTTTCCTGCCTTTTAAAATTCCACTATACATATACCAATCAAAAGGTTAGTTTTTAAAAATTTAATTTTCATTGAAAGTAAAATATCTAATGTATTTATCAAAAATAAATTTGTTTTAATTGGTCGATGTTTTAAAAACTTTTGTTAGTTACAAGTAAAAAACGGTAGCACAGTGGAGTCGAGACACAGTGTGGACGAGGCATAGATGGGACAAGTATAGATGATATCTGACAGTGATTAAAACACTATCATAAGAAACGCTTCGATGTAAATCTTTATATAGTTTTTAATTTTAAAAAATTGATGGATTATTCCAAAAGCTACATGATCTACTATTTCCTTATTTATATCCTGATTAAGCTAACGTATGTCGAATGAAAGAGGGATTATTAAAAAATATTATTTCTCATAAAAAAATTGTGTTGTTATAGCATTATAAAGTTAAAAATGTAAAAAATAAAATCGAGAATTTTCACACAAAAATAGCATTCGGTAGCCATTTTCATCACGAAGACAAGTCCAGAGGTAAAATTATTTTTTTTTCAAATTAAAGTATATTACATTATCTTTAATTTAAGATATATATAAAAGTGGCAGACCTTCCGGAAAACTTTCAAAAATTAAGTTGAAAAAGTAAATTTTTTGTAAAAAAGTTGTCATTTTAAATCCCCCCCTATGGGCAGGTTAAGTGTCAGATTTACAAAAAAAATATACCAAATAATATGTAAAGATATCAAGCATCTATAAAAAAAAAATCTATATTGATTTGTTCAATTTTTTAAAAAGTTATAGCAATTTTAAGTAAAGAAAATTAAAAAATTTTTTAAAATTAGCGATTTTTAAATTTGTAATTGTTCTGAAGGTTTCCCCCATTTACGGGGAACGATGGAAGTTTTTTCAATTTTTGAGGGTAATGTCTTCGACTAGATTTGTGATCTTTTGACGTATCGTTAAAAGAAATCCGTTCCGTGAGAGCTGAGAAAAAGTGCTAACAGACATAAAAAAAAAAACACACATCACAGTTAAACCAATACTTTCTTAGCTTTGCATCGAAACTAAAATATACCAAAAGATAGGTAAATACATCATGCATCTATAAAAAAATTATATTGATTTGGTTATTTTTAAAAAAGTTATGATAATTTTAAGTAAAAAAGTACTAAAAATATCGAAATTTATCGATTTAAAAAATTGTCATTTTTTGGGAAATTTACCTCATTCACAGTGAACGAGGAATTTTTTTTCAATTTGAAGGGTAATATCTTCAATTAGATATGGTTTGTGAACTTTTGACGCACCGTTAAAAAAAATCGGTCGATAGAGGGCTGAGAAAAAGTAGCGATAGACAAAAAAAAACACTTCATAGTACAATTAATACCTTCTCAGCTTCGCATCAAAACAAAAATTTCAAATTTAAGCCAATAACTTTTAAGATTCACGTCATTGCTGTAAATAGATAATTATTTTTCTATTCTATGGCCTTATGAGCATTTTTAATAACTTTTATGATTACTAATAAAGAAAGATTTAAGCTTTCAAAAGAATATGTTTATTATTAAAATTCTTAAAATGTAAAAATATATGAAAAAAATATATTATATTGTTCGATGAAAACATTTCTGCATAGTTCCTTGTGTATTTTGTTTTATAAACTTTCAGCAGAAAATTTTAAATTGTTTTTGTTTTTATTTATAATACTTTTTTCTTTAGAAATTAAATTTTGTGGGTTAGAATTATCTATTACTTGTTCTTCTCTAAGCATAATCTTTTCTTCACGAGTTAATTGTTTCTTAGTATAATTTACTGCTAAAGGCTTTGGGAATTGCATACCTAATTTAAGACTTTTTTTTAAATTATCCATCAAGAGCTTTCGTATTTCAATACGGTCTTCCAGCAATTTTTGCAGTATAATAAGTATATTATCAGGGTTATTGTTCTCATCAGGAGATTCGTAAGGAATTTCTTTAATAGTTATTTTTTCTGGAGAAGGTAATGACAATCTACAAACATTATAATTATAATAAAAATTTAGAAATTTAATTTTAATTCTTGAATTTTACATTTTCTTTTCTTTTCTAGTGTCTAACCAATTTTTAAGAAGGGCCAACTCTTGATTATCATTATTAAATCTTAATTCATCATTATAATTTGAACTTTTTATAAAAAACTTCTTGTAAGATTGTTTAATCTAAGTAAAAAAATACAATTATGCTTAAAATGAGTCCATAATAAATATTCTACATTTATTACCACGTCTGTTTTGTAAAATATTCCAGAAATAATTATAATAAGTAATGCATATAATATAACATAATATTTCTTAACTTCTGATATACATGTTTGAAATATATCTATGACAAAAAATGTATGTATACTTATATTTATTAATTATCATATGGTTTTTTTTATATATTTTATTTAGCTAAAATGTCAATAAATGTCTAAAATTAAATTATTTTAAGAAATTTGATAACAGCTGAAAAATTATAATTTTTATAAATATAATAAAAAAATTAGTTCTACCACTTATTCGTATAAAAAAAGTTAATTCATAAATAATTATATTAATGATTTGTATCTACTGTCTTCTTCCTCAATTTCCCATGGTACATTAGAACAAAAACTGAGTGTAATTCCATAAATAGTACTATATATGATTATGCTCAACGTAATTTTTATAAACATATCTCTACAAATATAAATTAGTTAATTCTATTCAATTGATAAAAAAAAATATGTTTTAAGGAAAATAAAGAGGCGTTTTAATTAGTTTTGTGGTCTTTAAAACGATTATATAAAATGCATACATTAATAATTAAGTTAAATATTTTTTCTTAGCTGTTAGGTTGTCTAGGACATAAATTCAATCATAAATAAAAATTTGTAAAGCCAAATTTTGAATAATATGACTTTTATTGTTTACAACATAGATCTAATAATACTGAAACAACTTCTACAATATTTAAATAAGCTCTTTAGGAATTCAAATATCCTCTTCTAAAAATAGTAAATAAATAGTAAAATAAAATAAAAATTTTTTTTATAATTATAAAATATAACATTTGTTTTCTTTTAAAATGCATCTGATGCTATTTTATATAGTCCAAAAAAAAAAAAATTGTGTAAGATTTGGGATGTTATATTAAGTTAAACTTGTATTTTAGAATCATAATAAATTAGTAAGAATTATTTCTATAAAAAAATAATTTTTTGGATAGATCAATATAATTTTTCTTATAAAAATTTTAGACATTTCCTTGTAATTATTTAGTACTCTATTTGGCGTAAAATTCCAAATGTGGTAAGAGCCTAATATCAAACCTAGGTATGTTTACATATATTTTTAACTCGTTAAACAAAGTTAATTTTAGAAAGGCTATGTTAAGTTGGAAAAATTTGGATACAATAAGTCAGTATCGAATTTTTTTTTATAAAATTTATTATCGTTTGAATAAGCCCCTGTATTTGAAACGATATTTAGTTTTTATGAAAATGTTACATTGTTACCTTAGATAAAAGTTTCTAACGCAAAATTTTCGAAAAATGTTTTTTTTTTTTTTTGATAGATCTGTTATTTTATTGCGCTTATAATTATATTGAAAATTATTTTAAAAATATCCTTTGTTCAAGAAATTGAATATAAATTTATAGAGAATGAAAAGGTTCTAAGTACTAAAACTGAATAAATAATGGTTAAATTAGAACTTCTAAACTCTTTTGTCTACTACATGTCCTTTTATTGTTTTTTTATACTTCATAAGTTATCGATTTGAAATTGCCGTTATATCAGTATTGGCTCTTCTTTTCTTATCAATGATAATGTAGAGTCCTCGTTTAAAACGACCAAGTCTTTGATGAAGCATTAGACCATTGAATGGATTTCTTTGGAGATCAGGTATCTTTTTTTAGCTTCGATGCGAAGCTGAGAAGATATTGGTTTTACTATGATGTGTTTTTTTTTTTTTTTTGCTGTATACGCTCAATCTCAGCTTTCGCTGAACCGATTTTGATGAAAAATATGTCAAAAGATCACAAATCGTATTTATCAATTAAACAGTTAGTTATTCCATTTTCTCTATAAAGACAATTAAAATCATTCATTATTAATGTTTTCAAAGTATTTATTGACGAATTAAGTTTGTTATGATAGGTTTCAACTACAAAATTAAATCATTTTACTTTGTAATTTAATAATTATTTTACTCTATTTGTGTGTGCTATTACTAGACTACAGGGTGGCCCACCACTCACTGACAACTTAAATAACTTTTGATCCAGTTAATATTTTTAGTTGATTTTTTTTTTAAATAATAGTTATACGTTAGGTCTATAGCTATATCTCAATAATTAATTTTTTTACATTTTATTAAAAATATTAATTATTTTTAAATTTTAAATAAAATGTAAAAAAAAAATCTAAGATAGCTATTTTGTAGAGTAGAATTTAAGAAAAATTTTAGTAAAAAAATATCTTATTAATATTCAGTAGTAAATATTCTGTAGCGTTTTGAAGTTTGTGAAAATTTGAATTTTCATGTACTATTTTACGGTATTAAACATTGAAATACGTATTGAGAAAAGGACAGAAGAAAACGCTATCTTTTCAATATACTTTTGAATGAGAGTGATAAGTAATAATTGCCTTATCTAATTTCTTATCATGGTATTTATGCCAAGTTTGTAATGTATACACACTATCATCATATGTATACACAGTAATCATGAAAAGATAGCGTTTTCTTCTGTCCTTTTCTCAATACGTATTTCAATGTTTATAACCGTAAAATAGTACATGAAAATTCAAATTTTTACAAACTTCAAAACGCTACAGAATATTTACTACTGAATATTAATAAGATATTTTTTTACTAAAATTTTTCTTAAATTCTACTCTACAAAATAGCTATCTTAGATTTTTTTTTTACATTTTATTTAAAATTTTAAAATAATTAATATTTTTAATAAAATGTAAAAAAATTAATTATTGAGATATAGCTATAGACCTAACGTATAAATATTATTAAAAAAAAAAATCAACTAAAAATATTAACTGGATCAAAAGTTATTTAAGTTGTCAGTGAGTGGTGGGCCACCCTGTATAGTATTCCAAATTTTTTTGTAACATGTTGCTATATAAATCATATATTTAAAAAAAAAAATGATTGTTAGTTTCTCCTGAATTAATAATGGATTTTTACAATTATAATCAAATTTTATTATACACTCAATTGAGTAAATCTTTTTAACAACTTTGTTTTGATTGGTTCATTTAGTTAAAGCAAATCATTAAAATTAATTAAGTTCTGAATATTTCAATTGCAGAATCTTTTCAAACACTAAAAGTTACGAGGAAATTATTACTATTACTTCTATTTAAGTTATATATTACGATAAAAATGCAAAAAAATATTGAGCTTTTTTGATAAATTTACAATAAATAGTAATTATAAAACTTTCTGACAGCCTATTAATCTTAACGATACAATTTTATTAATTCTCATAAAATTTTCTATTTATTGATGTCAATTTCAAAATTGTAATTGAGCTAAAAGTTATGGTAAAATATTCAATTTTTTTTACTAAAAACTTTCACAAAACTTTATCAAAATATTTTCATCAACTTTAAAGAACCAAAAAAATAGGTTAAAAATGATAATTTGGACTGATTAATTTTAACATATTAAAAATCAAATCAGTAATAATTTGAAAACAATTTTTTTTTTCTTTTAATTATTATTTTATATGTAATTAGTAATAATATAAAAATTAGTAGTATTAGAAAAAGTCTAATTGCAGATTTGAAAACAACACGAAAAGTTGATTAATAAAGTATATTTTTTCTTCTGATGAAAGTTCCTTGTAGTCCAGTGCATTTATTTATAGTAACAAACAGTTTTTATTGAAAATTATTGTATCAAGCCCTTTAAATTTTTATACACGTAAAAGTAAAGCAAAATATAACTTCTTTATTATTTTTATAATTTCTCCGTTTAAATTACAATATTAAATATCAATTTCATACTAAATTTAATAATTATAATTAGTATATATTCATATATTANTTGAATATCAATTTCATACTAAATTTAATAACTATAATTAGTATTTATTCATATATTATATTTTAAAATCAAAGAACTACTAATCAGGATAAAATTAATGAAATAAGAGTTGATGTTGCTTTTGGAATAATCCACCAATTTCTCTAAATGAAACACTATCTACAGATTTGCATCGAAGCGTTTCTTATGATAGTGATTTTAATCACTGTCAGATATCATCTATACTTGTCCCATCTATGCCTCGTNCTTCTATACTTGTCTCATTTATGCCTCGTGCATACTTTGCCTCAACCCCATTGTGCTACCGTTTATTTTATTATTATTATTTAAGTTACGAGCTGTATTTTATTTAATTATAAATTATTTTATCAATTAAAAAAAAATCTAAGTATTACTTATATTAAAAGTCGCCATTAAAAAGAATTATTCTTATTGTCGAAATAAATATTCAGTGTAAACAAAATTGTATACTTATAAATAACAGATTTGTATATCTATTGATCGTTGAGTCATTGATAGTTCATGTACATCAAAACCTTGTGTCTAAGAGATATCTTTACCATGTTTAAATGTCATGACCTCAAACAAAAGGCCCTACCTTATAAACTAGGGGAAGATGATTTTGAAAAAAAAAAACGAATAGTCAAAAAACCTGGTCTGAAATTTATAGGGAATAGGCAATAACAAACAACAGGACATTAATAAAAAAAATTACATCTACAACTTTTTACGAGAGAAATGCTATGAACGCTTCTGTGCGATTGAATAGCGTCAAACATAGAAGATATTCACATACCACGGCTTAAAGAATGTATCACTATTCATATTATTGCAAATAGAATATTTACTATTAATAAATAAATAAATAATAAGTAAAACGGGAGGAACGATCTTGGAAAGCGTCCTTGAATATTAGGTATCTAAAATTACATTATAACACCTATAGTTAAACTATAGTTAAAAAACAAGTACTTAACGCCGTAACAACACATAGTTGGTTCAAGCAAAGTAAAATATTTAGAAATATAAAAAAAATTATGAATATCCTTTTGTCACACTAAAAATGTTTCAATTTTTTTGTAATTTTTCATTTTAAAGAACATAGTAAGTTTCATTGTTTAAATAACTTATGATATAATCAATTTTCATTAGATTAGATTTCAATTACTTTCTATGAAGCATCATAGCGACTAAGTTTTTTTGGTCTTAGAACTTAACTACATCAATGCCATACATAATGTACTTATAATCACAAAAGTGGGTTTTTGAGATTTTCATTTATACAAAATAATTAAAAATTGTTATTGAATTTAGCTTTTCAAAATAAAATACTACCATATCAGTAGATCAGATCTTGAAATTTGAAATTTACGATAGATTATTACATGATAAGTGTGCAATGCACATTTATTTGTAACAATTTACATTAAATTTTTCATATCGTTAATCGATTCATTAAGATTATTAAAATGTTCTTTCATGATATTAGCTGCTGACTCAAAACTGCGATCATTATTTTCAGACTGCAAACAGTACTTACGTTCACAAGTTGCATCATAAGTAGTTTCTTCACCACTAATTAATATTTCGGCATGTCTATCCAAAACTGATGTAAAAGTATCAGGTTGTTCACAAGGATTTTGATTAGTTGATGCCTTTAATTTATTTCGTTGAGCTTTTAGTTGTAAAATTTGCTGTGAACGATCTTCATTCAAACGTTTAAGTTCACCAACTTCTTGTGTCAATAAGTTAATTTTTCTCTCTCGCAATTTAATTTCATTATTGAGTTGCTCTCGTTCAGTTATATTCTTTTGTGCAGAAATTTCCGCAGTTTGCTTACTTCTCTTGGCTGCCTGATGCTGTTGTTCTAAGTTATTTTCTAAACGTTTTACTGTCTTTAATTGTTCATTTAATTGACATTTTAGCCTTTCTTTTTCCATTTGAGCATCACAAAGTTTTCTATTGATAGCTCTAAGCTCTTTATTAACTATTTCAGCATCATTTTTCAACGCACATATTTCTTGATCTGCCTTATACTTTTCTTGTAAGTGAGCCGTTCGAAGCTCTTCAATCATTCTCTTTAATTTATTTTGCCGTTCACATTGAACTTCTAATTTTTGTTTATGTTCTTCAAGTAACTTATTAGTATCGTCTATTTCGGCAGTTTTGAAATTCAGCTGATATTGTAATCCAGTAATTTCTGCTTGTAACTTTGTAATAGTATTTTCATTTTCTGATTTAAGTTCCGACATGGTGTTATTTAAACTTAAAATTTGTGCTTGACTTCCTGAAATTTTTTTTTCTAATTCAATCCTTTCTGATTTTTTATCATCAAGGACTTTTTTTACTCGACTTAAATCACGCTCTTTATTCTGCAATGTATGTTCAGTTTCTTCTAACCTGACACGTACCTGATTAGAAGCCCCAGTTACATCTGATAATCTTTTGTGTAACTTACACGTTTCATTTTTTAAGTCTAGCTTAGCATTTTCTAACTCTACAATGCTCTTTTCTTGTAATTGAAATCCATCTGTTAGTTTACTAAGCTCACATCTTAATCTCATATTTTCCTCTCGATCCTTATTTACATGCTCACGTTGTAAAGTGTACTTAGAACACAACTCATCATATCTCATAATCAACTCACTGAACATTTTCGTTTGTTTGCAAATTACTGAATCCAACCATGACGCAAAAGAAGATACTTTTTCCTGAAGTTGATTTCTTTGCAACACTACTTCATCATAATCACAAAGCGTGTCCTCTAATTCCCTTATATGATTGTTAGCTTCTTTAAGCTGACATTTTAAATTTTGTTGGTTTTCAGTCATTTTATAAATATTTAATATTTTCAAAAATTTTTATAATTTTTTTCAAATTTTAATTCATATTTTTCATTATATTTATTTTAATATGAATTCAAATTACTTTTCTCATTTAAAGTTTAGCTTCTTTTAAGTTTCCTTAGAAACTACGTAGCTAAGAGTTAGGAAGAAAAAAACATATACATATATACATTTTTATTTTTACAAAAAGTACAAGAAATATGTCAATGATTAAGAAAAATTAAATTTATTAAATCTTTTAAATATGGTAGTATTTTGCTGGTTTTAAAAATCATAGAACTCATTAATTTATCTAGATAGGTTTGAAAAATTTATATTAGTATTTTATATTTGACATTAGTTTTAAAATCAGCTTTAAAAATATTTCAATTATTTATATAATCCATAAATTATTAAAATTGAAATATCTAATTTAAGTTAAAAAAATATATAAATCAACTATTATAATATCTTGAACTAAATGTATAATTATAAAAATTTACAAGATAGTATATGATTATATTGCCCTGCACGAAAATGTTTGTTAAACTTTAAAATAACTATACAAGGTGTTAAAATATTATTAATATAAAATAAAATAAAATTTTGTTTTCGTTAAAGAAATAAATAATATAAAACAGTAGAAAATATTGACTCAATTAAACGTTTGCTTGATATAACATGAAAACTTTTTGTTTAAAATATTATTTGAAAAAGTATTACCGATCGTTTATTATTTACACAAATATTTTTCATTTATCTTATAGTTCATTGTTTTATATTGGATTGAAAGTAATGCGTATCGATAATATAATTAAAAATAATCAAACATTCGAAATAAACATCTTCTTGGGTAAATTTAACATTGAGGTCAACACATATATAACGTTTTTTTAATATCATTTACTTTGAATTTAAAAACATTTTGATAGAAAATGTTCATTATTTCATTATTTAACAAATTATCAATGTTAAAAGTTGTATTTGTTTTATGAATATATTCATACAAGGACTTTACTAAGTTCTGAATATCGATACTACCTAATAATCCATTATTAGAAACATAAAAATTAACACTTGTTTTAATAAACCAGCACATAATTTGTTCATCAAACATATGATCATTAGTTAAATTGAATATACTTGTATAACTTTTTATCTCGTCTACGTGATCCTCTAAGTTTTCGAAATAATATTGATTTATTTTTACATCTTCTTGGGGGTTATTATCGAAAATTAAACAAAACGCTTTTTTTAATCCTATCCATGACTTAGCATCGCGACAAAATGCCAATAACATAGCACTATAATTAAAACCATTTTTCACTTTAAACAACTCGTACAACAATAATTTTATATCATTATTGCGCTCAGATCCATCTTCAAACCAAAGTTTTGTACCTTTATATATATTTTCACTCACAGTTTCATCACCTTGGTCATGATAATTGAATTCTTTTCGATAAAAAAACAAGTCATCAATTTTTAAAATCGGAAGCTCAAACAATTGTACGGCAAAATCTCTCCAATCAACTGTAGTAATATTTTCACCTAGTAAACAATGAAGTAAATTGTTGTAAAATAAAACGGACTTTGACTGATAATCAGAAAATAAGTTATGAACTTCACAAATGTCTCTTAGTTCGTTAATTAACGCTGATATTGATATTTTAAATTCTGGTGAAATATTTAATAAATGTTCAATAATTACTTTTAATTTTTCCAGACAAAAATGTAAACAATTAACATTTTTATTCTTGCTTGAATGTTCACAAATGCTTAAATTATAAATGTAAAATCTCTCATTTTGTTTAATACGCCATTGCTTATTTTCTCGAAAACTTACTCTTGATTTTAAAATTTCGCATAAGTTGTTTATATAACTAATTTTAAAACTATGATTATTATTTATAATTCCTAAGTAATCATCAATTTTGGGAATACTAATTAACATATCACGATCTTTCGTGAATCTAGCTATTAAACATTTGGTTACATAAATAAATCTATATAGTTCCTCTTGAAACAAAGTTAACCTTCTTTGATCAATTTTTTTATCCTCTTCAACGAAATTATTTTTTAACTCTTGAACTAAATTAATACAAGCTACTTGAAATTGTTCTATACTAACAACAGTATCAATGGAATTATTGGAAAATGGATAATGTGCATTTATGTCATCTGTATTGTAAATCACTATGAAATTCATTGTTGTTAGAGTTCGATACAATTCAAATTTTAATAAATTCTTATATACATCTAACAACACATTTATTTTGTATATTTCAAACTGTTGATTAAATATATCTATTATATATTGCCGCAATTTGATAAACTCTTCATCTACTTGTTCCCATAAATTATTTTGTACTTCAAATAAAATTTCATTTTGACATTTTTCTTTAGAAATTCCAAGATCTAATTTTTTAAATGTTTTTATAATATTATTTGAATTTAAGTTATTAGTTAAAATAAGCTCTTTAATTTTGCATGTAATTATTCGGCTGTGTTCTTTTACTTTATTGAAAATGTTTTCTCTAAAATATAATACTTCTTTTATATTTTGAATGTAGTATAATTCCATAGATTCCCATATATTACATAAATATAATGCTGTTTTATCGGTTATATTACTTACAAAATATAATGACTCATAAGATAGTGTTTTTGACTGAATTTGGTTTTGTTCAAAAGACAAAAGTGTAAGATCACTATTTAAAATGAAAGATGTATCATTTATTTTTACGTCATCATTTTCTGAGTCAGTTTTATCAGTTACGTTTTCCAAATGAAAAATTTTGAATACTTTTTCGATTTTAATTGCATCTACATCTGTTTTCATGATTAAGTCAATTAATATATCTGATGTGATTGAAGAGTGCTTAAGAACTTTATCTGCTTGTTTAATGAAAATTGAAATACAATTAAGGTTTTTATAAAATGTTATGAATTGAATCCAATTTTCATTTTCAAGTTCATTTTTGTCTGTAACAATTTTGATATAGTGAGATAAATATGTTACAGTATTAACATGTTGAAAATTACTACATATATCATATAACAAAATAGAAGATTTTTTTTTTAATTTATCATAACTCAACTGTCCGTAGATCGGTATTTGCCCTGTAAGTTTATACTCCAACAAAGCCATTTGAAATGGATAAGTAGGAAATTCTAAAAGAACCCAACCATGTTTTCCTTGGAATGTCTTGATAAATTCAGAAATACAGTTGATAATATCTGCATTTTGTAAGTTTTTAGAGCTACTTAACTTATTTTTAATAATTTTACCTATACTTGCTAATGAACTTAATTCTGGATCATTATAATCAGGCTCAGGAATTTTTTCGGGTGTTTGAGTTTTTTTATTTGAATTTTTCAAATTGATTTTCATTTTATTTAGGCTTGAAAATTGTTTTATAGTTTTCTGTCTGTCATTAGATATATATTTTTTCATAGCATTGTCACCTATTAAATTGTCAATACAAGGAAAATTAAATACTTTATATTTATTTCAGCAGACCTAAGTTAAATAACTGGATCTATTCATTTTTTAAAATGACTAGTACATTCACCAGTGTTAGTATAAATACTTTTCTCTTTTATTAAAAAAAAACTGAGAATTTTTTTTAAAATAATTGTAAGAAAATTTGTAAAGATCACAAGTTACTTTTAAAATATCTGACTAGCTTTGTATGCAAAATTACTTTTTAAGCTGATAGCTTTATTAACACTTTCAAATAATATGTCTTCTTCTTCTTGTACCTCAAATGTTTTTTCTAAATTTTTAGAAATAACCATTTCCGATTCATACTTATTTAAACACGTGGTAATAGCTTCATTAACAGTAAAACATAAAATGTCATGTTTTGTTAATTGTTCTTTAATCAATTTTAACACTTTACCATCATTTATCCCTTCTATTACACCAGCTACTTTCTGTCTTTTTATTTTTATAGGTTTAACTTCGGTTTTTCCATACTCATAATTTAGTATACCTGTTACTATTTGAATTAAATTAAATTGGAAGCATTCATTATTATCCAATTTCAAATTTTGAGATGACCAACAATTACTATGATTGATATAATCATTAAATATTTTTTCTTTCCATTTATCTTTACTTGCATACTCAGCTTTCTCGTATAATTCATCATAATCATGTGAATTGGTTTTTGATGTATGACTTAATTTTTCATTCTGCAGTGAGTTTATTAATTTCTCAATATGACTAATTTTATTTAAAACTTGAAAATTCATGTCACAGTTACAAAATTTGGGAAAATTTAATGTGTTTTCATGTATTTTAGATTCAATACTTTCATTTCTTTTATTTGTAATAGTATTTATTAGTTGTGGTATTTCTTTATGACAGTCATTATAAGAATTTTTATTACTCAATTGGATGAGGGAACACACTTTATCATTTTTTTCAATTAACGAATTATTAATTAAATTGTAAAGGGTAAATCTTAAATTTTCGTAGAAAGAATTTATATTAAGTAGAAAAATATTTAATGTATTATGACAGTGAGGTAATCTTATTTGGTTGGAATTAATCCAAGTTTTAATATTATACTCATCATCTTCTGTGTAACAAAATATTTTAGAAATTATATTTGAAATACAATCATTATATTTCATTATTTCCTCGGTTTCCAGTTTCTTTGTATGCGATACATTGTGTAAACTACTAGATTTGTCTGTTAAGTTATTAGAATTATGTTCTACATCAGTACTTATGAATTTAATTTTGTATGATGATTTTATGTCTTTAGATTCTAACCGACTGTACATTTTTTGTAACAAATTTAACACGGTAGATGTTTGTGCGCAAGCTATTTCATGAATATTACGATCTTCAACATATATTTCTAAAAAATTAAGCCAAACACATAACTTTTTTAAGTTTTTCATACAAGTAGCATAATAATCACTCTTTTTTAATGAATGAGTGTATATGGTTGGCATTATATGATATTTTTGCAATAATCGACCAAATAACACACCGTCTTTAAACTTTTCTCCGATGTTGTTAATGTTTATGTCAAAACAATAAATATCAAGCTTATCAATCAACCAATCAGTTAAAATTTGTATCATTTTTATTAATAATAAAAATTTTTAATCAATTTAAACTATAAAATCTCTTTACTTAACTAAATATTGCATTCATCTCCAATTTATTCAGAAAAATAACTAGTATTCAACAAATCCATAGATACAAATACATATAAATAAAACTATATTTTTCGTAAAAAACTATTTGCTTCTCAGATAATTAAATGAAATTTAAATTAAAAAAAAAAATTTTAATTTTCGTTGCCTCAAAAAATTATAAGAATATTTACTTGGCTCCGCCTAGCTGGGGCGTCATCATAAGTAGGCCACTGATTCCGATAGGAGTACCTGGCTACGCCGGGCATGATAAGTGTTTTGCAGAAAAAATATTACATCAGAATCAGTGTAACAAAAATATATTAAAAATGTTGTTATTAAAATCATGAAAATTCAAAAAGAAAATATAGTAAAATGTATTGGGTATAAGGTTGATGTTTGTTAATGAGGTATTCCCTTTAGGCTTAATCAAAAATTATTTTAGGAGGGTATTTAATATTTAAACATGTTATAGAATTTTTTTTGCTAAAAATCAAAGTAATGATGAAAAAAATGACATTAGGTCCTTATTTATTAGAAGTTGCTTAAAATAATATTGATAGCGTTGGTTCAAGGGGGGCCCATATTTCCCTTATATACACCACTGGTATATTATAATTATTAATATTCTAATTATAATAATTGTGTTTATATTATAGAATAAATACGTGAGACTATATGAAAAATTTAATTTTGATAAAAATATTGGTAACTGCGATTTAACATTGGACAGTATAGTTGTCATAGATGAATTCCAATTTAAACGATTAACTAATAGACTCATATATCATATATGAGAAAAAAAAGATTATTAATAATGTACTGTTCTGATAAACATGAACTGATAAAGTAGAAACTTATATAATTATAACCGTCTTAAAAATTAAATGTAACATATAATATTTCTCAATAAAATATAGTGCTATGTGCAAATACAAAATAGTGTCCTAATAAAAATACCTATTACACTAAATAATTAAGGTTCCGAATAATCGTATGAGCAGAAATGAGTCAATGCGCATATAAAAACCATGCGCGTGGACTTAAAAAAAAAAAAATGCTCGTAAAACGGTGAAAATTGAACGGATTAAATTGATTTTTTTATCATATCTCAGGAATGTTATTGGGCGGGTCTGGTGAAAATTTCAAACCTTAGGTCGTAAAACGCTGGCGTCAGCGAGCGTTTTTCTCAAAAAACGGTCGAAATTTTAAAACGCTCGCGTGCTTGCAGCAAAAATTTTCCGACCTTTGTCAATAATTTTCTCGGAGTCTGGTGACCGAGTACTTAAGTAAAAAAAAAAATTTTTGAAAATCTAAGCACGCTAAGTAATTTTCCCAGAAAAGCGTATTTTCCTTGTTCTATTACATAATAAGATATTTATTCCTATTTAATTTTGAGATTTCCTAAAACTCAGTCCAAATTAAGTTCAAATCTTATTGAATTGAAATTTGACTTTATATGATAATTAATTAACTGTTATTTAAAAGTTATTGACACGATTATCTACTAAAGTTGGAACTCGATAGGTCTGCAAATAATAACAAAAAAATTTTTTTTCTGTCGCCGACTTGCCTATCCTAATTAAAATAGGTTAATTAAAATTGATACTAATCAGAGAAAACGGTGGTTTACTTATTAAAGATTTTGGAATAAGTATGTAACACATAAGTATTATATAACTAGATATCAATAACATCCAATGGTGTAACTAAAAGGAGACAAGGGAATGGCTTGCCTTTCTTAAGTTACCTTAGTTGGCCAACAAGATATATATTTATAATATTTAAAAAATTATATTAATAATATATTCCACAAATATTTCGAGTTAAATATTCTATGTTTATTCTTTATTAGTATATTTTCTTAATATTTATAAGCAAATATTTAAAAAGATATTTTTTAAGCATATCGTAGAAATGTTTTTAGTGAAATATTTAGTATTTATTTATTTTAATATATTCTCAAAATATACATAAACAAATATTTAAAAAATTATTTTGTGAGCATATTGTGGAAATATTTCAAATAAAATATATTTTTTATTATATTTATGATAATTGTTACAAAATTGACTTCAAAATATTTAAAAAAGTATACTATAAATATATTTTGACAATATTAATATATCGAAATTACTATATGGGATTTGGCCGAATAATAATCCAAATAATTTTTTTTAACAAATTAGTTAAAATCAACAATTTACGTACAATTTTTATCTAAAATGAAAATTATTTCATTAACTACAGAAAAATTAAATATAAATTTCTAAATACAGTAATAGTTTATAATAGTGGGAGGGATACGAGTAATAAATAAGACAAAATATATATAACATTGACTGCGATGCATGTAATTACAATTATACAGATTATAATAATATTATAAACATTAGAATATATATTCCAATGATTATAGTCGGCGATGTAAGAAGAGTTGTCCATGGCAGTCGTATAACAATATATGATTTATGTCAATGTACTCAAAGGTAGTGGTGCGGCACAACAAACACGCGGACTCGATGCGCATCATACGCTCGTTCAAAGGTCAACGCGTACCTACACCGAAAATTAAATTTTATTTTTCCGTAATAATAATCGATCTATTACATACACAATCTATGAGCGTGCGACAAAATGTGTTAGTTAAAGTCTTTTTTCTTATCGCACAATCCTTTCATTCAATTTGGTTAGTTTATGTTAAGACTTGTTAAGGGAAAAGAGGATCCCCTCTCATTACATTAGGTTAGTTTACCTTGGAATTACTCACCCCTTCTAGATAACACTTTTTCACCACCAACCGGGTGGATGTTAGAGGCTAGGGGCTTTAGCTTCCCCTATATCAGGGGATAACTGTATTCCCCAATACATCGAACTAAAAAGTTAAAAATAATTTTTAAAATAAGCTTAAAACAATAATGAACGAAAAGTACTAGTATTATTGCGATAAATGCGTGGGTGCTTTGTGCCATATTTTTCGTATATTGAACGCCCGACGCTTTTATCACATTAATACTAGTATTTTTCGTTCATTATTGTTTTATTATTATAATTATTAGCATATGGCTCCGGCAAGCTCAAAATAAATAATAAATGAATAACATTAATATAAAACTACAATAATAATACAAAAAAAAATAATTAAAACTATTAGTACTAATTAAATTGTTTAGTTATAACTAGTTGAAAATTTAAATTAAGTTTGGTAACAATAATTTGTTAACTCGTGGTTTATACTCAATGTTTTAATTGGCGTTTCCTTGGTCACAGCCGCACGCATACGTTTTTCATCCAGTTGATGGCCTCCTCGCTGGCTATGTGGATTTCCTTAATACCTCCTGAGAATTCATTAATGGATATTCTTCGACTATGAATCTAATGGTTTGCTTTTGCCCGCAACTACATAAAGGGGATTCCACCATACCCCACTTGTGTAATAGATAATTGAATTTTCCCTGGTTGGTTCTTATACGATTTAGGGTGGTCCATAAGGCACGTGGTAAACTGAAACCTGGTACTCTTACTATCGGATCTCCGACCAGTGATGAATTTCGTACCTCAGACTCTTTTCTTTTCCATTCAGCCTGTAAATCGTTATCGTTTGTGTTTACTTCCCAAACAGGGCTTTTGGATTTTAGCCTTCTATTTGAGTGATGTTCTATGTCATTATAGATAGGCAGGTTAACGTTCCTTTTAATTTTACTAACCATACTTTGTGTAGCTATTTGTCTACGGATTTCCGGAGGTCCAATGTTTCAGAGAACAGGAAGCCATTGCGTTGGAGTGCTTCTTACTGTACCTGTGACTGTTCTCATTACTGTATTTAGCTGAACGTAAATTTTCTTGCAGTGAGCACTTCTCGTCCATACGGGAGCGCAATATTCAACTACACTATATACTAAGGATAGAGCTGAGGTTCTTAGAGTGCCTGCGCTGCATCCCCAGGTAGTCCCAGCTAGTTTGTATATGATGTTGTTTCGTGATTTTATTTTGTTTTTTGTTGTTTCTAAGTGTTGTCTAAAAGTAAGCGTCCTATCAAGTTTGACCCCGAGGTACCTAGGAAATTCTTCATTTGCAATATTAACTTCACCAATTCTTAGTTTAATTTCTCTTTTTGCCTCACGATTATTCAGGTGAAAGGCCACTGCTGTTGTATTATTAGCATTTAAGTTCAGATGCCAATTTTTGAAATAATTTTATAAAACGTCTAGGTCTTTGTTCAGGATCTCTTCTAGTTGTTCAAAGGTAATTCCTTGGGCTACTAGACCTATGTCATCTGCATAAATGAATTTCCTGGATTTGGTTACCTCAATGTCGGCGGTGTATACATTAAACAAAGTCGGTGAGAGTACTGATCCTTGTGGTAACCCGTTTTGTAAGATTTTTTTTCGGCTTACCTCACCATTTAGGTTGACTTTGAAACTTCTGTCAGAAAGTATTTGTTCTAATAGGCGTAAAGTAGTTTTATATTTAAGATTTTTTGCTAATTTGAGTAATAGGCCTCTTTTCCAAACTGTGTCGTAAGCCTCCGAAAGGTCGAGAAAGACGGCCCCAGACTTCATTTTATTTTGAAAACCGTTTTCTACATAGGTCGTTAGAGTTAACAATGGGGGAGCGGTGCCGTACCTTCTCGTGGTCTCCTCTGTTTAGTAATGTCATTGTTATCAAGTAATCTCAAAGCTTCGCTCAAGAACTGTACAACAATGGCACGAAACGAAACAGTTACAAATCGGCGGCTAGACGTCCTAGGACCTCCTGGCTCTCCCGGCGAAAAAGCCTTTTTCAAGGCTACCAGGACACATGCTTTGACAGCACAAGTTTTAAAAGAAAAGACAATTATTAAAAACAAAAAAAAAAATCTATAAAAGGAAAAATATCAAAAAACAAAATGGACATAGCCTTAAAAATCAAAAGGACCATAATTCAAATATTGGTAAAAATAAAAA